CCGGGGTGGGCACGAGGGCCGTCCTGGGGCATGGGGGGGACTGTCCTCCAGTATTGTGGGCTGAGGGTACCCATCCACTGGAGTCCTGGGGCACGGGAGGACCATCTCCAAAAGTCTTGGGGCACACAGGCACATGCTCTGCCCCCGCCCCGGGACATGAGAGGGGACTGTCTTGGCTTCTCTAGGGGTCCCTGACCCACTGCCCTCTCGCCACAGCGGGGCAACCCGGTGCTGAAGTTCGTCCGCAATGTCCCCTGGGAGTTTGGTGACATCGTCCCTGACTATGTGCTGGGCCAGAGCACCTGTGCCCTCTTCCTGAGGTGAGCTGGGGCTCCTGGGGGTTCCCAGGGGTCTGTGGGGTCCCCTCAGTGTCACCCCATCCTCACCGTCCCCCACCAGCCTGCGGTACCACCACCTCAACCCCGGCTACATCCATGACCGCCTGCGGCACCTGGGCAGGAGCTACAGGCTGCAGCTGCTGCTGCTCCAGGTTGATGTGGTGAGAGGCTCCCTGTCCCCTCGCTGTGCTCCCTCTGTTGCCGTCCCCTCCCTCTCCTGGTTACCTCTAGTCTCTGTCCCCTCGCTCTTCGGGCTCTTCTGTCCCCAGCTTCTCACTCCCCTGGTCCCTCTGCCCCCTCAGCCCTGTACCCTCACTCTCCCGGTCCCTGTGTCCCCTCCGTCCATGTCTCCTCGCTCTCTCAGTCCCCGTGTCCCCTCCATCCCCAGCCCATTGCTCTCCTGGTCACCTCTGGTCCCTATCCCCTCCCTCTCCTGTCCTCCCCCTCCCCTTGGCTCTGCCCCACTGCAGAAGGATCCGCACCAGGCACTGAAAGAACTGGCGAAGATTTGCATCCTGGCTGACTGCACCCTCCTGGTGGCCTGGAGGTAGGGGCTGTCCCAAGTCCATGGGAGACCCTGCTGTCACCTGTGGGTGGCCCCCCAGCCCCCTACCCACTCCCTGTGCCCTCCCCAGCCCCGAGGAGGCCGGGCGGTACTTGGAGACCTACAAGGCCTATGAGCAGAAGCCGCCTGACCTGCTGAAGGAGCGGGTAGAGCAGGATTTCCTCTCCCGGGTGAGCTACGCCCCTCCCCACACCCCAGTTTGGGGACCCTGAGGACTCCGAGGCTCCTCTGACACTCCCCGATCCCATCACCTGCAGATGACTGACTGCCTGACCAGTGTCAAGTCGGTGAACAAGACAGATGCGCTCAGCCTCCTCACTGCCTTTGGGGTGAGTTTGCGGGGACCTGCCACCTTCCCTGGGGCACACTGGGGACAGTGACATGTCCCTGAGCCCCTCGCCTGCCCCCTAAGCCCCTC